TCTCATCTCACAGGGGAGGGGGAGGGGCTACTTAAAAATTATAAGCAAGTTCTGGTTGTTTATTTTTGTAAACTTAGATAAGTGTACATGCCAATATAATTTGATTTCTAAGTAATATTTTGAAATGTCTTCTAGGAGAGAACTATGATATGTGTGGAGAGTGGCCACACCAGCCTACAATTCATTTAAATTCATGGGTGTAGTCAGGATTATTTCTGTAGCATTGGCTAGAAGCAGCATAAAACACAGTGGTCTGTCACTTCAGTGGTGGCTGAGTAATAACTTTTGAGTAATCCTGAATTTAATAGAGTTAATAATTCTTTAAAAATAATATTGTAGATGTAGCATGGAGACTTTTAATTTACATATAATTTTTAAAAAGCTACCATCTGCTTAAAACATTGAAAGTTTTTCAACATACTACCAAACAGTCATACCAATTTGTTTACTTGTGTCAGTTGTACTGGGTTACTTTTTCCAAGAGCAGAAAGTTGTCTGGTAAAACCAGAATTTGTATATTCATCTTGCTTTTGAACAAAAACAATTAAACAGAAAACCAAAACTAATTGATTCATCCGCAAGGTTCTTCAAAGAGTACATAGCATATTTTTTGACTGAACCATTCTGAAATGTGAATGTTTGTGATTTTTGTTATTTCTGTGCTGCATTTGAGGTGTTCTTGGCACATCTGAATTTGCCTTTTTGCTTTCTTTTGTGGAAATTCTTGTGAAAAATACTCCTATAAGGCGAGCTTCCTATCAGTAGGCATTATGTGTAACTAATAATCATTTTAAGATTTTTATTTTTATTCACTTATTTTATGCAAAACTGATGCATGCTATAGGAAGCAAATATGAGCAGTACTTAAGTGTCTGAAGTAAAAATAGAATAAAAGGGAAAGTCTCTGTTCTCCTTCCTCCATCTTTAGTCGTGTTCTCCTGAGCTGACCATAGAAAACAGTTGGTGTCATTTGGCTTTTGGGAGAGCCCTCTGGTGCTGAGGTGTATTGGTAGCAGTGAGAGCAGAGGGAGAAATAGGGAAGGCCTGGCCACTGAACTGTTCAGGTGTCATGCAGGGGCTATTCCACTCATTTCCTGTGATGTTAAGTAATATTGATAATCTTAAACTACCAGCAGTTGAAGATAACAGTGATTGAAACACTCCAACGGTTAATTCATTGTCAGATTCGTAAAGTTTTTGATTTGTGGATATTTTAAGGAAATAGATATTTATGAATAGAAGTCATATAACTATAGGGCTGAGTTAATGGTGATAATTGCCATCTGTGGGATTGTATCTACTGTTGGCTTTTTATAACTTATTATCTCTCCTTTAATTCTCATAACAACTCCAAATAGTTGTTGTTATTTACATTTTGCAAAGGAGGAAATGTAGATTAAATGTGAGCTAACATAATAGCACAACACTGGTAAGGAGTGGTGCTGGTGTTCTGGTTTGGAGAACCCGTGCTCTTTCCATTGGGCTCTCCTGCTTCTGTCCCGTCTGTCTTTATTCTCCAGACAAGGACTTTTAGGCCTGGAGAAGTCAGATGATTTGTCCAAGGTCACACAACTAAGTAGTAGCAACTTTAAACCAAACTTATATCTCTGGACTCTTATCTCAGAACTCTTGGTCCTGGCTGGTTATGCTACATATTTTTGAAATACTGTGGACCAAAAGACCATATGCTGTGAATATTGGATACAAATGCTTCAGCACTGTGTCAGCAATGGTATTTTCTACCCTGTGTTTAAAAGCTCCCTTCTCTGTGTTTCAGAAATTATAAAGAGCTCTGATGGGCTATTTGGGTGATACCCAGTGCAGTGAACTGCAGGTGAGTAAAATATATGAGAGCCTTGTTTAGAAAACAAGAACTTGGTAATGTGCGAGAGAGAGACAGGGGAGATCTCATCTAGATGAGAATTTCTGGCCAGAAAGTATGAGGTAGGACAGGGTGGAAGAGTGGTGACCTGAGGTGTGGGTCCTGACTGCAGTGGCTGCTTCTGGAACAGACTGGATGATGCCGAGCAGCCTCTGCAGAGACCGCCTGCCGCTTTGTCAGTCTGTATGAAGAGAAGTGAGGGTAGGTTAATCTTCCACTCTGTTCTGAATGAGTAACTGCACAGGGACTCAACCTATCAGCATGATTGGAACTGGAGAGGTCCTTCAGTTTTTATGTCAACATTCTTGAGTGGTAATCACCCTATGCTCTGATGAACTTGGTTAACTATTAAATTGTTTGTTTTTTCTGTTATCTGTCATGCATATATTATCATGAGTGACTATATATTTGCATCTTAGAGGATCTAGGTACCGAGAATACATCAATAGGAACAAAAGTTTAAACTTACCCCCTAATGGTTGTGTTCCCTCCGCACAATGGTTGTAATAGTCCTTCAAATTATTTACCTTTTGCTGAAATGCTTTGCTACTAGTAAGTAAAGGAATACATATTATTTCACAGTAAGTTATCTTCTTGATTCCTTATAGTACTTTGATCTTTCATTAATAGACTCAGAAAATGGTAATACTATAGAAAAACAATGAGAAGACTGTTTTCATATTACCCTTGTGGGGCATCAGTGCTAAAATTATTTTTGATATATTTTCAATACTAGTCTTTAAACATGACCAGCTCTAGAAAACTTCATGTGTTGTTAAAATGACTTGCCATCCTGCCTTTTGGAATCTGGCTGGGTAAGATTTTTAAGACATTGCCAGCTACTTTTTACCCATCTCTTTTAAGCTGGAGTTTTTAGTTTTCTGTTCCTTATAGTTTAAATAACATTTTTCCCTTTTTAGATCGATGCTCAACCACTGAGCCATGCCAGCCGGGCTTATTTTTTTTTTAAAACATTTTCCCCTTTTTTAACTATACCAGAATCTCCTGGCCCCTACTGCTTTCATTTGTCCACCAGTCCATACTGTTTTTTAACTGTGACAGTCCACCACTGAGCCAGCAAGTTCTTTGAGAATCCTAGAGACTTTAATGTGAAACTATTCTATACTTTTGGGATTTATAATTGGATTTGGGCTTGGCTACTTGCTTTTATTGCTCAAATATATCTGGTTGTAGGGATTCTTGAATATATACTTGTTTTGCACGATGCAGCCCTCACGGGTTCATGGGGGTGATCTGAAGACCGGTTGAGGTGGCTTGTTGGTCCTTGGAAAGCTGGGATCTGAGGGTGTCATAGTTATCATGATAAGGAGGGAAAGTAGGAGAGCTTCCAGTTAAGGCCAGAGTGAGCCGTACAAGGGAGGTGCGGTGGACCTCTTCTTGAGACTATTTTAAGCTTGTATCCTGGAACCCCTCTCTCTCCTCAGTATGGTGTAACTTTCTTTCTTAAATTATGAGATAATTTAAGAATTGATATTAAATAGTTAAAATTTGGGTTATTACTCAAATAGTTGATTTTCTTTTTGGCATTCCATTAAAATACATTTTACTGTTTTTAAATTATGATGCATATAATTTGATTTTTTTCTATTTATTAGATCATGAAACATTTCCATGTTAAAGGTGTCACTATTTTAATTTATATGATTACATCTTGAAAGGCTGCAAAACATTTCATCAAGTCATACTCTCATAGTTCACCTAAATCTTTTTATGTTAGGTACTTATGCTGCTGGCTGGTTTTCAGTTAATACTTTAATCTACATTACTGTAGATATTATTATACTTTTTTCTGACTAATTATATCTCTAGGATAAAGTTTTGAGTACATTATTGTTGACATGGTAAGAATGTTTTTATGGCTTGCCATACTGTTTTTCAAGAATATTTTATCAGTTTGTATTGCTAACAGATACATGGATATTTCTGTTTCACGAAAACTGGACAGAAATACATTTTTCCTTAAAAGTTTTTGCTCATTTAATAGTGTAAAGTGGCACTTATATTTCTTTTTTCTACAATGTTGAATTTTGTCTTTGAACCTCTTCATATTGAATTGTTTGTTCATATTCTTGGCTATTTTATTCAATAAATTATTGATGTGGGCTTTGGATGATAAAGTAAGTATAACCAGGTAATAAACAGGTGATTATTAAAAATATTACTAGAACACGTTCAGTGAAAATGTTCAAAGAGAGTCTGGTTTAGATGGTAAGTGATCTTGGGAATAGTGTTTGAAAGGGGAATAGGTGCAATTTTGCAGATATTTATTGGGCGTCCACTGTGTACCAGGTGTTGTTGCCTCTTCTGAATGCTTCTCAAGTTATCATCATGGCTTCTACCTTGTTGAAGAAGGAGGCTGCTTGATAATGCTTGAGTTTTGACATGTGGGGACTCTGGCTGCTGAAGACCCTTTGTGGCTGTTTGGAGGGCTGAGGGGATCACTGTCTAGACCATCTTTAACTCATTCATGGCAAATGCCATTATGCCATGGCACTCTCCTTAAGCAGCTCTGTTCTGAGGGATACAAAGAT